CGAGCCCAACAACCATATAAACACGAGGTGTCCTGAGAATTCCAGCGCTCGAGGCTGGACTGCATATTTCAGATGGACTCGGAAAGGGACGAGCTCACGGGTGCCAAGGCTGGGCCGGGCCGTGGTGAGGGTCAGGCAGTCACTCTGTGGTCATCCTGGCCTCCGACACCGGCTCTGGGACCTCAGAAGGTGACGGCTACAAGTTGGGTGAGCAGACCTCGGGGACAGACACCTACTGCTCGGCACCCTCCCCGCCCAAGGAGCTCCCGGGGCCCCTTGGCAAGGTGTGTGCGGCCCTAACATGGTCTCCTGAGCTTGCAGTTCTGAGCGTGGGGGCAGGGAATATGACACCGCGTAACGTCTGAGGAATCCAGAGGCTGTCTGACTGATGCCAGCAGCTGGGAACTCACCCCCCTGAAGTCAGCTTCTCTGAGGCCAAGCAGTTTTTACTTTGGGGAGGTTTTCTTTGCTCATTTTTTAAAATGTTAAGCCCAGATCTACCGCCTTCTAACTTCCTGATCTAATTTTGCCTCCGGGGCTTTCAATGACCCCTCCCCACCTGGAAACACCACTGACATCTCCTCCATGTTTAAACCTCCCACTTAACGACCATGCAAACCCCCGCAGCCAGCTGCCATGTCTCCCTCCACCAGGTCTGAGCGCAGCGAGGCCTCACACTCAGGCAGAGCTGGAGGCGGCGGCCTCCCGAGGTGTGCGTGCAGGTGACGTGACCCTCCCGGCAGAGGCAGAGGCGTGGGGCAGTGCCTAACGGACGTGCCCGCTGCGCACACCAGGCCGCACGCCACACACCCAGGCGCGTGCCCGGTCGTTCACACCACTGCCAAGCCAACTCTCCTCAGAGGCCCGTCCGTGCCTGGCCGTCACTCTCACCTCCTGGCCGCGGGGCTCTGGCTGAGGAGCCAGTGGTGGAGGATCGGCTGTCTCTCAGAACTTCAGCTCCCCAACAACTCTGTGTCGTCGGCACATTTGAGCCACAGGCTCCTGAGGTCTGATCAAGCCACTGGCTCTGCAGCTGAGCAGCCGGGCGGTGCAGTGCACCAGGGCCCTGCTGGGACGACACAGACCGTCCCCTCACCCACACCCAGGGCTACGGGGACTCCATCACGGTGAATGCAGCCGCCTCCCGGAACGTCTCCACACCTTGGTGCTGGCAGGGGCAGAACCTTCTCTCCCCAGCAGAATTGCGGGTGGGACCCCGTGTGTGAGAGGAGTGGAGGGCTGACCCGGCTGAAGCTGGAAGGTGCTTCCCCATCTGCACCGGCCCCCAGGCAGCGGCAGGAAGAGAACTGGAAAGGCCTGCACCGGCGGACTTGCAGAGCTCAGGCCTGGCCTGCCCAGAAGAGAAGGGGCGGTGTCGGGGCCTCAGCCCACGGCCAGCGCCATCCTGCAGCCGACCTGCGTGTGTGTGTGTCTGTGTGTGTGTGGGGGGGGTGGGGGGCTGATGCCCAGAGCAGACACAGAGGCTCCGAGCTCCTGGGAGAGGCGCAGCACCTTCTCCATGTGGAAGCTCAGAAACGTGTGCGGAGATGAGTGAGAGTCGCTGACTGAGGAAGAGCAGCTCTGCCAAGACCGAATCCCGCCTTTTGCCACAAACACTGTGTCCAGCTCAGCGGACACAGCCGGGGGCAGCCTCTGTCTCCGGCCCCCGGCAGGCCCACCGTGAAAGGACAGCGCGGTCTCCGGCCCAGGACTGGCACTGTCGTGGCCACAGGGAGGACACGGGCAGAAAGCACCCGTCCTGGGCAGCCCCGGCCTCCGGAGCGAGAAGGCAGCTCTGCTGGGACCACGAGGCCCTCAGGTGATGACCCCTCTTCCTGGAGAGGTCCACCAACTGCCCCTTTTGTCTGAATTAAGCTGGAGATCAGAGCTCGCCGGAAAACGGCAGGGGATTCTTTTAAATATGAGTGACAACATAGAAACGGGTAGAGCAACACAATTTTAACTTTTGAGACAAGGCCTGGAGCTCAAGAAAGCAGTGAGGTCTGCTCCTGGCCCCGCTCCCCGGCTCCCTTCCAGGCCCCACAAGGGGTTTGCCGGAAACGGCCGATGCCCAGTGCTCAGGAACCAGCCGGCCAGACGGCCGCCGCCTCCACGTTTGGCCGGTAGAGGGCGCCGCATCACCACACTCTCACTCCAGCCGAGGCCTTGCAACCTGATCCGCGGTTCACACAAAGACCAGGCCTGAGGGAGTTGTTCTTATGCGTGTGGTTCAATACGACAGGAGTAAGAAGCAGCAAAACACAACCCGCTATGACATGATGTCACCTATGTAAAAAGTGCACAGAAAAACGACAATGATGCACCTCTGCCCACGGAAATGGGGTTTCTGTGTGTTCGTTATTTCTGTATTCTGCCAGTTTTCAACAAGTCTATCTTACTCTCATAATCAGAAAATCCCCAGGATTGCTCAGGGGCTCGGGAGTTTTTGGGGGGAGGGAGGCGGTGGATGAGAGCAGCACGAGGTCCTAGGCTGATGGAGAAGCATTTCTGCAAAACCGAGTACTCGCCTGGACCTGCGCTGAGCGCTGGGAGATCCCGGAGTGGACACAGCCCTGCCTCGAGGAGGTCCCAACATGAGCACAGCACAGAGTGAACGCTCAACAGCCGAGAGGCGCTCAGAACAGAAAGCCAAGACCCATGCCCAGCCCCTGGTGTTCAGGGAAGGTTTCCTGGGAGAGGGGGCATGGAGCTGATAGCACAAGTGTCACATGAGCAAAGACGCAGACACAGGAAACAGGAAGGAAACAGGAAGGGAAGAAGAGGCTGCCACGTCAGCGTAAGGTCTGAGGCTTGGGGAGGGGAGAGCGGAAGCTGCCAGATTCCTCTGCTGGGAGGTTAGAGAGACCTGAAGCCTCAAGGGGTAAAGTAACGCACTCATCCGTTCATCAATCTTCAACGGAAAACTTGAGTGAGTGATCAGCATTTCATCTTTAAAAATTACCAAAGACGCTGGATAAGAAACAGCACAGAAACCAAAGGCACAGAAGCCCCATGACTCGGGGGGCTCAGAGCCGCCCAGCGGGAGCGGAGAGCTGGGAGAGACGGTGGCTTTGACCGGGAAGCACTACTGTAACATTCAATTATCCTACTGCCTATTGGCTGACTCAACTCAGCCAAATTAGAATACATTTTATATTGACTATTTTGACATTTGTTTTATTTGGCAAGTAAAACAAAACTGATCCAATTTCCTTAGAACCACTGTAAACCATAAACTATACAACAAGAGGTTATGAAATATATAAGCCTTATAAATACCACCTGCAGTTCTGCCCGGTGCCGCCCGGGTGTCTCGGGCCCTCTCACCTCAGTGGCCAGCGACCGTGCTCCACCACTGACCGGCAGCCTTCTGTGGAGACCGGGCCTCCTGCTTTAACTCCCTGAGAGAAGCAGTACTTTCTTTACCCAACAGAAAGGCAGAACCTGCCCTGAGGTTGTGCCCGTTTCTAGGTCCTTCCAAGCCATATGATGTCAACAGGGAGCAGCTGTAACCACCCAGGGATGAGCCTAAATGAACCCGCCCACAGGTGATGAGCCTGAGCTGCCCCTGAGCACAGGTGACCATGGTAATTGTACCTCTGACCGTGCCGGAGCTGAACTGAGCTGCATTAGTCTCGAGCTCCTAACCCAGGGGTGGGGAACCTTTCTTCTGCCAAGGGCCACTGGATATTTACAACATCATTCGAAGGCCATAGCAATTATCAACTTAAAACTGGCCTGCTGTATTTGGGCAAACATTTAATTCATTAACTCCCCTAAGGCCTTGGCAGGGCCAGACCAAACGATTTCGAGAGCCTTACACGGCCCATGGCTGACGTTCCCCACCCATCCTAAACCAGAGACGCTCAGCTGCTCCACCTGCCCTCTGGCTACTCCTTCGCTATCTGTGTCTTTTCCCATCGAAGTGAACTGGAAAACCGCTTCTGAAGCCTCAGGCGGTTCCGGGGGTAGTTAAGCTGAAGGACCATGCGTGGCTGTGGGTCTGTCAGGAGAAAGCCCAGACTGTCTTTATGGAGGAGGAGCTGAGGGACGGAGCCCGCGGAGCTGCTGGCTTCTTCCGAGGGGCGGACGCTCAGAGAGTGCAGCCTCGCCACCCCTGCACCTCCACGGGCAAGGCGTGGGTCGTGGACCAGGAGGGGGAGCCCATCAGTGACCATTTTGCCCTGATCCTGACAGATTGTGTTCATCTCTATTGGCCCACATGGAAGCTTCTAGATCCATTCTCATTTATGTTACATCAATCCCCAATGACACCGCCCTGCCAAACCTTTCTTGTTTTATTTACTTTTGTAATCCCGGTCTCAACTTAATCCATCATCATTGTTTGTTGTTCCTTGTCCTCAAATAATTTCCTCCTAGTGATGCGAGGTTTCTTTAGTGACAGGATTCCTTTCCCACCCGCGTCTTGCAGAAAGTGGAGACCGTGTCCACCTCGATTCTGACTGAAATCGCCTGCAGAGCGCCCAGGTTGCTCTCCGGAATTTCTTTGTGGAAACAATGATTAAAACTAACATCTCCTGAAAAACTTCTCACTATTCTCTCAAACCCAAACTGCTCATGTCTTAGTTCTACTCATTGGGAAAAGGAACAATGTGAAAATGAACACAATTACTTACCAACCCTCCTGGGTTTCAAATGAGTGGCTGGCCCAGGCAGAGAAGGAAGTGCAACTTCTTCCGGCCAGGCTCCAGCCACAGGGCTGCGGGCCCTGCCTGCGTGCAGCCACCAGCCCTGCAAGCTGCATGCTCTGCTACTTTAGGGGCCTTCAGAATGCGTGCAGGACAGAATACACAATGGCCTTTACATTTAAGTAATGCAAAGATTTCTAATTGGGTTTTAAAACATCCTCCACAGGTAGATTGCTTCTGCATGACTTCAGCAGTTACTGAATGGAGGGGTTCTGAAACATGTGCCCTGGAGCCCAAGACCACGTGACCGTAACATGCATCGCAGCACGAGATGCCAGGACCAGGCCTCACCTGGGAAGGCTGGGGGCTGGGGTGGAAGCAGCTGACGACTGGGAAGGTGTTGTGGGTTGAGATGAGTCATGGTTTCTTGGAACTCTGCCCATTCGATACCAGATCCCCATGCTGTTCAGTTCCCTGTAGGAGAAAAGAGAAAACTTCACGGCGCAGTTTAGCACAAAGCATTTACCTGAGCGACAAGGCAAACCAACTCCTTTAACAGAATCACAGCCTCAGACACCAGGGAACTGTTGTCCACAGACTGGTCACATCACCCCCTTGGGCCCTGGGTGTCACAGTCCGGAGCTGGCCTTCCTACTGCACTGTCCTTGGTTCTCAGTCTTTAATTTTTTTTAATTTTGTCATTTAATAGTAGGTGTTTACACGACAATCCACTTCAAGCCCCACTTCTAGTTCAGTGATACCGGCTCCCCTCGCACTTCAAGCAAACACCACAGCTCGCCTGTCATCCAGCCTGTGCCAGGCCGATGGGTAAAGGTCCGGCTTTCTGGGGAAAGAGGAGGGTCTGGATTAAAATGAACAAGAAAAGAAACAGAACCTGACCCAGATCCAGGAGGCGATCTCAAAAGCCAATAGGAGAACTTATCCGTGGGGCCCCACGGGGTCCAGCGAGATGCCTGCGAAGCCAGCCAGGGAGAGAGGCACGCGGCCGAGGGCCGACAACCATCTACCACACCGATGAAATCCAGGTCTCAGGTGACTGAGTACAATGAACACCTATTGTCTTTAGGACACCCAGCATCCATTCACTCGCCAGTCTGACTTATCTCCCCTCTGCATCTGGGGGCAGCCACCCCTCATTGTTGGTCCCTGAGTTCCAATGGCTCGGGCCTGGGAGAGAGAACGACATTTCCCAGGCAGCAGTGACAGGGTCGGGGTGCACAGGACCCCTGGGGGGTCCGTCAAGACCAATGAGCCTGAGTTCTAGCACTTCTGTTTGAATGATTGAGAACACAGACGTGCTCTTTGCCTCGGGACTTGAACCTGGAGGAAAAGTAGGCGAACCAAGCGGGCCACCATTCCCCCACTGGGGAGAACGTGTCTAGGGATGGGGTCCCCTGGAATCAGAGCCAGGAGGAGGGAGGGAGAAACTAGATCCCAGTGATGTTCTCCGAGCACCTACTTCAGGCCACCCTGAGCCAGCCTGGGCTGGGTTCCCTCTCACCCGCAGTCAAAAGAGCCCAGAGTGAGATCCTGAGATTCTTCGTACTTCGTCCTTATGAAGCGGCTTCAGAGCCAGGCCTGTGCCGATACTGAGGCCACCGGTGAACCAGCCCTCTGCTCTTCAGGGAAGACGAACGTGCAGCCAGAAAACTGCACACGGAATTACCATGTGGTCATGAAATAGCACGTTTTTCTCGGCTCAGAACCCCCACTGGCATCCGTGCACTGGGAGAAAATCCACACCACGATCGTGTCCCACGAGGTCCTGGTGGCCGCTCCCCTCCCCTCTCCTGACTCCCCCTCGCTCGCCCAGCCAGCCTCGCTGCTCCCGGACATGCCACGCCCATTCCCACGGGGCGCCCCCTCCTCTGTCAGAGGCCCTGCCTCTCACACTCTGCAGGGTGGCTTCTTCTTACGCTGGAGGTCTCTGCTCAAGCCTCCCCACCTGACCCCCTCGCTGAAGGGGCCGCTGGTTCACTGCAGTGTCTCATTTTTGTTGCTCCCTAAAACGATACCATCATTAACGTCCTGTTTGTTGCTCGCCTCTCCTGTCAGAACACAACTCTGAGAGCACACTCTTCGTTCGCCTCAGTCGCCACCTGCCAGGGTCTCTGGCCATGGAACGAAGGCGCCGTGAACTCAGGGGGCGAATAAACTGCCGAGAGCCGAGGCTCAGGGGTCCCAAAGGAGAGAACCCCTGGGCTTGGGGGCACCTGGAAAGGCCCACAGAGCGTCAAGGATAAACACCAGGACAAGGCACGGAAGGCCCTGAGAGCGGCGAGGGGCGCGAGCTGAGGCGCGGGGTGGACAGCGTGGTGGTCTGGGCCGGCTGCAGCTCGCACAGGGAGAGGAGGCAAGGCCTGGCTATGGACTCACCCAATGAACGTGTACTGCGGGGGGGCCTGCTTGGTCCGGCCCATGATCCGGATGTCACAGATCGCCGCCTCCGTGGAATCCCGGGGGATGAATTTAATGCACAGCCTCTTCTTTCTAAAAGCCACTTCCTCTGCGGGAAAGAACAACAAGGAAAGGTGTGAGTCTCTATACCAGCAGTTCTCAATCTGTGGGTCGCGACCCCTTTGGGGGACGAATGACCCTTTCACAGGGGTCGCCTAAGACCATCGGAAAACACATATATAATTACATATTGTTTTTGTGGTTAATCACTATGCTTTAATTATGTTCCATTTGTAACAATGAAAATACATCCTGCATATCAGATATTTACATTACGATTCATAACAGCAGCAACATGACAATTATGAAGTAGCAACGAAAATAATTTTATGGTTGGGGGTCACCACCACATGAGGAACTGTGTTAAAGGGCCGCGGCATTAGGAAGGTTGAGAACCACTGCATTAAAGGTTTCAAAGTGGCGATTTTCTAAATCTGTCATCCTTCCCCATTTTTAGCTGGAATTCTTCTATATAAAAAAATAACTTTTCTTCAACTACTTGGCCTCTCTGAAATATGTTGTATGGAAAACAAGATAAATACGTGGTTCTTTATCGAGTCTTCGTGACGAGTCTGTGCCCTCGCAGCCCACGCCCGCGGTGGCCAGCCAGGGGTTGCTCGCTCCTCTGTGGTTTTTAAACACGAGTTTCAATTAACTGCATCACCCAGACATGAGTGACAGACCTGGGTGGAAACCCACCTCCGCCACTTCCCAACACCATGACTTTAATCCCTCCGAGCTCTGCCCCGCTGCCTGTAAAAGGGAGTGGATGAAACCCCACCTGGAGGGTGGCCGGGTGGAAGAAATGGGGTGGGATAGGCTTCCCTTAGCCCCGTGCCTGGCACACGCATGAGCTCACCAAGGAACAGCCATGAACGTTCTTATCGTCATCGAGGAAGCCTGCAGCACACGGTTTAAGTCAGGGCTCAGCACTGACTTTCAAGACCTTTCCGTTCGGGTCAGGAAATAAGCATCAAATCAGGGAGCAGCATGAGGAGGGCAGGGCAGGCCTGCGGCTGTCTGGACTTTACCAAGGATCAGAGGTGCTGGGTGCTGCGTTGTTGTTTGGGGAGGGGTGGGGCAGTAAGAGCCAGATGGAACTCAGAAACTGTGGGTTCTCTTCCTTGGTGAGGACACCGAGGGCTGGATGGGACCTACAACCGAGAGCAACAAGGCCCTGAATCCCGACCCCACCAGCAGCCCGCACCGTGGAAGATCCTGGGGTGCGCAGGTGAGAATGCAGGTATTTCACTTGTTCTTGCCACGCTGCTCTCTGCTCCCTTCCTCCCCCTACAGCATGGAGCCACTAATTACACATGCTTCACAGGCCTGGTTTTAAGTAAATATATTATGCACAGTCAATAGAAATGTGTTCAGTCATGCTAATGAGCACAGAAAGGACACAGCACTTTACTAAAACAAACAGCCTTCCAGTGTCTAAGTACTATGTGGATTGCAACAAACTGTATTTTAAATTGATTACAGGAGTCTCCTCCTTTCGGCTAACTTTGTAAAATCAGGGCCTTACATGCACCCAAACTGCACCTTTCCCCTGGTAAAGTCTCCAGGAAATGGCCGTGAGACCCGAAATGAAGAGGCTACCCCGATCCCTCCCGCCTTGTGAGGTAAGACACCTGGTGGAGAGGCCTGGACAACCTCAGAAAGTCCACGGCACAGCAACTGCGCCCCCGTCACGGGGAGAGGCTGCCCACCCTGGGCTTCCTCGCTGAACTGGTTCAACGAGAGGAAAGTGCAGAATGGGAAATCCCTTGTGGCTCTGCAGTATCAACATAAAGACGCTGTAAGTCAATTAGGTGTCAAAAATGAACACCAATTCTAAAACGAAGAAAAGCAGGGGGGGAGTGGAAAATTAACGCAAGTCTACAGGCAATTTTAGTTCTCGAGCAGAGAAGCCATTGAAGAATAAGCAAAGGTAGCAAGCACACACTTGTGAAATGTTCAGTCTTGCTAATAAATAACGAGATGAAAATTCAATAAAATGGGACAGCAAAACCAAGTAAAAAATGTAAAGCCTATGCTGGCAGGTCTGGGGAGAACAGGTACAAGCCTGTGTCACTAGTGGCACCATGCATTGGTATTTCTGGAAGTTACTTTGGCAACGGAGAGTAATAACGCTTATCTTTATTGAGCCCATCCTCCGAGCATGGCACTGTGCACAATGGGTACCTTAGGTCAGGGGTCGCCAACCTTTTGGACCTCACGGACCACCAAGCGTTGGCAACCGCTGCCTTAGGCAATTCAAAGATGAATTAAACACGGATCTTGCCCTCAAAGAAAGAGATAAGTAGCAAAGACATGAAGAAAACACATAAATGGCTAAAATGCAGCTAGAAACATTATTATGAGGTAGCTAATATCCCCCCTCCCCATTTTACAGATGAGGAAACTGAGGCCCAGGAGGGTGAAGTCCTATAGTTGTAAGTGCAAAGCCAGACTCAATACCAGGCGACTCGACTCCACAGCCCAAGTTCTCCACAGACCACCCTGCACTTCGTCCTCGTGGAGGTAATGATGGGAATTCAGAGGCAGAGTCACGCCCTTCGGCTTCCCACACGGCTTACTCCCCTCCTGCCCTTCAGTGAGTGTGTGCACTAAGAAGGCAGACGGGGACCTGACCTCCGACTGGTGAGTCCTGCCTCGGTGTGTGCTGACGCAGCTCCTTGTTGCCACGCGCAGGTCACCCACTAGACTAGGTCCCTGTGGAAAGGGTCATATCTTCCATCACCTTCACATCCCGAAGCCTGCAGTGCCACAGGCACCCACCAATCTTTGCTGACTGTGGAGAGGAGAGAGCTTGCTTCACACTGGTGTGTAGGGACCAGAGACTGCCTGATGCAGGTGGGAGGACTTTGGCTCAGCCAGAAGGATCTGGGGTGTGGGCATTCTGAGTTGAGGGAAGAGGCACTTCAGGCAAGGAAAACAGTAGCAAGTATGCAGTCAGCAAGGAAAGGAGCCTGCAGAGCGCACAGCACGTGGCTCGGTTTGGGTGAAGCAGAGGGTGTTTGAATATGAGGAACACCTTGTGGAGGAAGGCTGGGCAGACCACAGAGGCCGAGGACCCAGCAGGCCCAAGTACTTGGGAACCTATCACAAGGAAATCATTCAAAATCTGTACACACCCAAACTGACCTACAGACTCAGCATCATTCCTATCAAAATCCCAGCTGGCTTCTTTGCAGAAACTGACAAATCCTAAAATTTATGTGAAAATTCCGGGACCCAGAATAGTCAGGTCATCTTGAAAAAGAAGAACAAAGTTGGAGGACTCATAGTTTCAAAACCTGCTACAAAGCTACAGTAACCAATCACGCCTGGCATAAGGAAAGACATATAGATCCATGGAAGAACCCAGGGTCCAGAAACAAACCCGCGCAGTCTGGTCACTGACGTTCAACAAGGACACTGAGACAAGCCAGTGGAGGAAGAACGGTTATTCAACTGGAAATTCACATGCACAAGAATGAAGCTGGACCCCTATCTCACACCATTCACAAAAACTAACTCAAAATGGATTAAAGACATAAAGGTAAGAGTTAAAACTATAAATCTCTTAGGAGAAAACATAGGCATGAATCTTGGTGACCTTGATTTAGGCAATGATTTCTTGGGTATGTTACCAAAAGCATAAGCCAAAAAAAAAAAAAAAAAAGGTGAATGGATTCCATCAAAATAAAAAACTTTTTGAAGGACAACAAGAAAGTGAAAAAAAAAACAACCCACAAAATGGGAGAAAATATTGCAAACCATATAATTAATGAAGTACTTACATCTAGAATATGGTTAAACCCTGAAAAACCCAGGGGATAGGGGCACCAATCCCCCACATAATAAAAAATCCGGGTATAACTTTTGACTTCCCCAAAATATAACTACTAATAGCTTACTGTTGACTGGAAGCCTTGCCAATAACATATACAGTCAATTAATACATATTTTGTATGTTATATGTATTGTACACTGTATCCTTATAATAAAGTAAGCTAGAGAAAAGAAAATGTTAAGAAAATATGGTTACAGTATTTACTGAAAAAAAAAATGTGTATAACTGGACCCACCCAGTCCAAACCCATGTTGTTCAAGGGTCAACTGTATATTAAAATATTCTTATAACTCAGTTAAACAAAGACAATCCACTTTAAAATGGCAAAGGATCAGAAGAGACCTTTCTCCAGAGAGGACACACCCACGGCCAACAAGTACATGCAAAGATGCCCAGCATCATTAACTAACAGGGAAACACACACCGAAACCACACCGAGAGACCCCCTCGTACCCACGGAGACGGCTGGAATCAAGGACAGTGACACGTGCTGGGGAAGCTCGGAACCGCGCGCACCGCGGGTGGGAAGGTAAAACAGTGCTGCTCCTTTAGAACCAGTGTGGCGGTTCCTCAGAAAGTTAAACACAGAGTTAGACTAGGACCAGCCATTCCATGCCTAGTAGACACCTAAGAGAAATGAAAACGTATGTCCACACAAAAACTTGTACACGAATGCTCATAGCAGCATTATTCACAACAGCCAAAAGCCGAAACCACCCAAACATCCATCAATTGGATGGATATGCAAAATGTAGCATATCCATATAAATGGCGGATTATTTGGCGATAAAAAGGAATGAGGTACTGATAGATGCTGCAACATGGAGGAACCTTGAAAACATATGCTCAGTAAAAGGAGCTGATCACGAAAGACCACATACTGCACGATTCCACTTACATGAAATGTCCTGAACAGGCACATCTACAAGGCAGGTGGGTGACGCCTGGGGCCAGCGCGGGTGCAAAGGTGAGGGGTGGGGAGAAGCGGAGAGTGACTGCTCATGGGGCTGGGATTCTTGGGGAGGGGATGAAATATTCTAAAACTGATGGCAATGCTTGCAAACTCTGTGAATATACTAAAAACCTCTAAACTGTATACTTTAATGGGCAAACTGTATGGTGTGTGAACTACTGGTATAGCCAATAAAGCTGTTACCAAACCCCCCGATACATAAATATATAAAACCTTTTTGTAAAAGGTGCTTGAACACATGCTTTTGCAGAGTGGCACTGTGGTTAGAAGGGTGGCTGGTGTCAGACTCGTGTGTGTTCTGGTTACTCCCCACTCCGAGGGGCGGCACCTTGGGTAAATTCTTTAATTTAACCCTAAGCAGTTACTGACTCTCACTTATCGCAGATGTGAACTGGGTTCAATAATATCCATTTCCAAAGAGAGGCCTCTGAAGATTCAATGATATCAGGTGTGTAGAGCATTTATCACAGGGGTTAGCATACAGAAAATACATACTAAATATCAGCTATTATAATTATTAACTAATGCATATAATTACAAGTAAGTAATAGCAAAATGTCCAAAAGTGAGGAGACTATTAAGAAAATGAAAATATGCTACGCAGTGGTTGTCTTTGTTTAACTGAGTTGTAAGAATATTTTAATATACAGTTGGCCTCTGCAGATATGAAAAGTCTGGTCTACATGAAATGCTAGTAAAAACCCAGCAAAAATAGTGGGTCCCAATGGGGCTAAATATGGAAAACTCAAATATGTATGACGCAGAATGAGACACAGAGCTTCACAGAGAAATCACGTGTCATAAAGAAAGGAGTCTCTGTGTTCATTTTTATTTTACTGATTCACGGTGTGGGCATCCTAAAGTTAGTTGGTAAGAGTAATTAAAAATAAAACAAGTTATTTCACATCAAAATGAGGCGACTCAAATACACTGAGGTTTCCCGGCGCTGCATGACAGCTCATGTGCATGACGGACCCTGAAGAAGCTTCTGAGTCGTCAGTGACTCTCAGCTCAGTTCTCAGCGCTCACACGGAATCCTGTGTACGCTGATGGGCAGTCTTCCTGGTTCTGGCCTTTCTTGTGAGCTCCCAGAGCCCCAAATGGGAACAGTAGTGCACGTGTATTCCCTGGGCCTCTTCTGATTTTTCCCTTTTGCACCCAGGTCTGTGCCAAGCTTGGCTGCAGCAGCGCAGAGGATGCACTGAGGAC